AAAAAAAATATTTCACTAAGGACTATCTATTACAATGTCAACAAATTCACCTAAACATCGAGGCAGAAATGATTGATCAAGTGTCCTTAGTGGAATAGAAAAAAAACTATTGGCCAATATATTCGACATAATAATGAAGTAATCCTTAAAGAAATCAAAGAGAAGTTATCGATAACGTATTATTCCTTAGTATCTACACCAACAATATATCGTCATCTTCATGAATATGGTTATGAGAATGTTTAACCAAAAAGTACTCATATACTAAAACTTGAAGAAAAAAAAAACGATCCTATTCTCAATGGGCTCAACAACATTAAAATGATGATTTTACACGTACAATATTTACTGATGAATCTTCATTTCAACTTTTTCTTAAATTTTTCGACAGACAAATTTTAATATAGTCTATTCCCACCCACACACACTCTGATTGCTTTTCATCGTTCGACATAAAATTAAAGATAGTCAGGGTACACAGATTGCAATTCAGTCTTTCATCACCAATGATATAAGAAAATCTTAAAGAGAATAAGTCAATTGCTATAAAAAAAAAAACAATATGTCAGGAATTCTAGTAATTGAAATAATGGAAATTTTGAATATATATTGTACGGATTGTCTACTAGTGTAGCCATTGGACAGTTATACAAAAGGAGTAGTCAAATTCAAGCCATTGTCATTGATAATCTCCTGTTCCAGCTTTTGATAATCTTCTCTTAATCCTTGCAAATAATTCTGCGCTTCGATGAGTTCTGTTGATTCGTCTTGTGCTTTGGAAGATTGATCTAATTGATTCAAACCCATCTCGCAAAGATATTTGGATGTAGCCGTCTCATTAATTAATGCACACACTTGTTTATCAGTCAATGCAAGATCAGATTCATCATTAAAAATATACGGACGACAATAATTAATTCCACATTTAAATCCAGTAGGTGTTAGATCAGAAAATCGCCACCATTGTTTCATATCCATAATTAATTTTTGTCCAACTTCTTTTGGAACGATGTTTTCACCTCGAAAGAGTAGTGTAGTAGCTAAGGCCATTTTGTATGGAGTTGACTGATGTACAAAACAAGTATGATCTTGAGAGAATAATGGAACACACATTTCATACACTGACGGTGATTTGAAATCAGTGTGTGTACTGTGTGAAAACGGTATTAATGGTAAAAGAAACGATGAGAGTATTTTCAAAGTTGGAAAAGGAATGAGTGCTGTTTGAAATTCATTCAAATCTGCTAGCAAACAGCCATTAAATCTCATGGAACATGTGATATGACTCCAACACATAGCAATCAGTCTATTCATGTTTGCATATGTGGGAGTATCGATTTCAAGTCGATGTTTGCACAGATTGAAAATAGCTTTGTTTTCCATGGGTATAACGACGTGGGCATATTTCAGTAGATTGTACATACTAGCAATATCAATGGACGAGCCAAATACAGAATTCGTCACAATAGTTTTTGTTGAATAATCATCGGATGTCAGTGTCTGTAAAAGTTCAGAAGTAAAACTTGAACATCGACCATATGTAGCATGCGATATTAAAAAGCCTTCAAAATGATCATAATTTTCGATTTGCTTTCGAATTTTGTCCAGAATCGGTTCACAAGAATTTGTTAATAAGTGAAATTGATCATCGGTATATAGATTTCGGTATTTGCTAGATTTTATCTCGTCCATTGTAGACGAATAAGAATCAATAAATAGGGCACGAGGGCGATAGATTTTTTGATTATCATCGTTCTTTTCCGAGAAAAAACATATCGGAGGAATACTTTGTTCGGTTTCATTAACAATACTACCATCCACAGCTAAATTATGTTCTAGACAATATAATTCCCAACATCGATTACCGATCTCGACACCGGTTGATCCAATATGAAGTTGGAAGATTTCACGATGATTCATATCTGTGTCATTAGCCATGATGAAAATCTACAAAAAGCAATTGCAGTGTGTCATCAGATATGAATGTGGACGGTACTCATAAACAAAAGTATTTTTTTCTAATTCTGAAGATCTTCATGATTATATAAGAAAATTAATTTGATCAAATATGTATTCATCGATCAAGTGTATTTCTTACAAATGTGGATTATAGGAAAATGCTTCCTCTTGAGATAATACATGAAATAAGGTCAAAGTTTTATGATAAATATGAATGCTACCGAGTGTCAAACTAGTTTTTCAAAAGATGTATGATTCCAAAATATTTCTCATTTTGTTGCCTTTCCGTCAAAATTAACTAACATGGCCTGATTCAGCTCACCTCATTTTTATTCAACGCAATAAAACTTTCATCAGGTTGTAAAAGAAAATAAAATGTAAGAACCACGACAATGTTTTGTTTTGTTTTGTTTTTTTCTTTCATTAGTCACATGTGGTATATCAAAAGGAAAGAAACACGGTATATTATTTCTACGAGACGTGCGAAGAATATTTTTTTTTTCGTAAAGATATAGAAAGTGGCAACACAACAATCGAAGCAAAAGAAGAAAAAAGTCAAGTTAATGGCGAAACTTGAATCTGATTCGTATCGACATCTACCATGAAGCAATAAAGCGCAAAATTTGGCGAAGATTATACACTACAAAGATTAATATAGGCACTGTGCTTGACTAAAAAAATAATGTTCCAGAAAGAATTCATTTTGTTTTTCAAAGATGAAAGAATAAATAAAAGTAGATAGCCGCACTAAAGTCGAACACTCTTGAGTTCAAACAAGCATTCGCTATTCTCTGATAATATGAGAATTTTTGGTATTTTTTTTCACGTTTCAAAGAGAACATTAGGCATCAAAAGGCAAATTTACATCGTATATGCAAACGATCTTATGATATGCTTTTGTTTATGTTACCATACTACTTTCTTGCCATAATGATCTTTTTACTTTTTATATGAATAGATTTTTATGAAAATATCGAGTGCCAATTTGAAAAATATGCGTACTGATGTATAATTCAACTTTTGAAATGAATTTCTCCAATGAGTGTACGAATTCTTGCACTTTTTGCTTTATCATTCAATGTTAACAGCACAGATCTGAGTCGAACTATTTTATTCCTTTGATAATAAATGATCACATCTTGAAAACAGATGTTGTTCACACGAATTAATGCAATATAACAGAGTAGTTTCGCCATTTAAATATCCATCAGAAAAAAAAATTAGATAATATTGTTTACTCACTCTTCAATTGATTCATCAATAGAAAACTAATTAGATGAATATTGAACAACAGAGCAGTATTTCTTTATGAAAAAACCATATTTATTCGAAACTTCGAAATGTCAGTATTTTGAATGGACAATGTTTTATCATCAATATCATAAGAAGACGCGATTTTTTCGCATCGAGATTACAATGCATGATGCATTTATGTGGAGTTCTTTCCTGGTTTACATCTTTACTCGATCATATTTAAGCATGAGTGAGGAATAGGAGGCTTATTCGTTAAAATAACATGACAAGAACTACACATCGATTGCAAACAAATGAAAATAGAAGACTTTTATGTGTACTTATCAACAAATGTACTCATTCGTCCGTTTTCAATCTATATATGCAAGTATTATTTCATGAATACAGAATAGAATACAGGAATACTGCATCCTTGCTTTTATTGAAGTTATCAAAATTATTATGTTCAATAAATACAATGACGAATCATTGTTAATGTGTGAATACGAAAAAGAATGATTGAATATAGTAAAGTTAGAAAGAAAGCATCAATTTTTCATTTGCTTAAATATATTGTGATAGGGTCTGGAATCGTCGTTATGATGCTGACAAAAATCAATGGTGATCCGTCATTGTTGATTTATTTCAACGTGTCAACTGAGACACGTGAATTAATATTTGCATCAAAAAAAAATTAGACACTTTTTTAATGAAGAACAAGCTATGTTTAGAGGTTCTAGCTGAATATTCAATCCAAATCAAAAATTAGTTCAGGAAATTCGATAGTCATAGTCAAAGAAGATAATAAGTAAGCCCAATAGTATGCGTTTTGAGTTAACGCAGGTTCATAGATTGATACCAGTCAATACAACTTTCAATGCAATGAATTTCTTTAGCCGATACGTCGCACTTTATCCCTCATCTATTTTTATGAATAGTAGTGAGAAAAACAGGTACCATAGAAAAACCTTCAAGAATCAAAAAATCACTAGAAAAGTCAGAAACTTCTATGATAAGTTGATGGATCTGGATCTACAGACGTTACTCAAAAAATGGTAAAGGATGCGAAAAAAAACTCATATTACAGTTTTTCTCTTACACATATTTGCAGTTGAAAGCTGTTATTTTCTTTTCATGTATGAATGTGCAGTCACCTAGTCATTGAATATTGCCTTATAGAAATAACGATTTCGCAGATTTTTTCTCTTTTTGTTTTGATATGGACGATTAATACCAACGTTCACAATAAAAAAGTAATCAAACACGTAACATTTTCACTATGAGTAGCAAATGATATTCGATTTTGTTTCAAATTTACTAAGAATAGCTGCAGGCATAAACAAGTATCACTACAAGAACTGGCATTGTTATTTTTCTTTCCCTGTTCAATCGATTCTCGTTATGTATTCATTGTCGCTAAGATCGTATCGATAGGGCTTGTAAATTTCTGTTTTCATATCGGGCTGACTTATTTGGCTACAGCCAATTATCATCGGACTTTCCACTACTATCAGGAAGCTAACAAACTGATGTGTATTAAAGGTGAGACAGTATTTTCATATAGATATTATGAACACAAATTAGAGCAATTGCAATCGCTTCTTCGTAGAACATGGAAAAGTGTTATATCAGACTTATGTTTCCAGTGAGAATAATCCAATCGATTGAATGAATCGTAGAATTAGAACTAATAACCACGCCCTGGTTTATTATGCCAACCTTGATAAAACAATGGTGTGTTTGAAAGTGGATTTTTAATGCGTTGATACCATTGGTGTGGGTGTAGAGTGTGAACATGTGACTGTGGGTGTGGAGTGTGGATGCGGATATCTGTCTTTTCTTCGCCTAAACCCCACACCCACACTCACATCAACATCCACACCCTATGTTTGTATTTCGGTGTTTAGGTGTGTCGAAGTGATGATCGGGGAATATTTATCAATGTTTACACGTTGTCAATACTTCTTCTCATTCTATTGTTGTTGCTTTTCTCGACTAACATTAGCATATTCGCCATGGCCGCTCGTTCACGAGTTCGTGTTGTTCAACCATATCGAACTGAAATGATTCAACACATACTGGAACTCGAACTCAACTTGGTACGATTCGTATTGATGAATCAACTATTTCCGATGAAAGAAGACGCTGAATATCTCGATGTGATCTGAAGTTGTTGTTGAATATCGGTTTGGCGTTTGGAGTACGTCTGGTTAGTTGGGCCCCGATTTATCTTCTTTCAACATTTGGAGGAGGATCTTTAGTCATCACTGGCTCATCTCTACTTTACATTCCTTGCTCTTTACCATCCATTTCTCTTCTAGTCAATATCATTTTAATTGTCCCATATAATCGCGGTGTGCGACAACATTGGGTTCAACTAATTCGAACCAAACCATTCTTACAATTGAACAACCACATTAATTCTTTTTTCTGAACCTATTCTTCTATCCTTGATCTTTAGTTGAATAAAATAACTGAAACCAATGATTCGATCCTTTCAGAGTCGTTCTCAAAATCCAAGTTAAAAAAAGATCAATTGTTCTTCATCGAATTTCTAGTCTTTTGAAAGAATTAATGTCATATTCTTCTTTCAGATTTCCTGTTTTAGTTCGAACCCAAGAAATTCAATGAGAAATTGGATTTCAAATCAACAGTCATTTATCATTCAGAGCAACGAAAATACATCTCGCAGGTACATAAAAATAACACCTTGGCATTTACATGTGAGCCACATATCTTACATGAACACGCCAGAATGTTGCATACAAGTATTTGCAGAGATAAAATCTATGCATCACCTCGTATGTTTTACTCGGAAACCTAAAAAAAGTGTATTTGTGTGCATGTCGTAAAGGCAAACATTCAAGGTTTGTGCCATTGTCTTGTACTTACGCGCAACACTTGCAGATATCTCAAATAAGCTGCATGTTCATGCATGAGATATGACGACTTGAAAAAAATTTTCTGCAAGTAAACGCAAGTTTCTGAAAATCTCCCGCGAATACACGCGTTTTTTAAACTTTGGCGTTTGACTGGATGATTTGCAGATAATAGATATCTAATCATAAAACTGAGCAAGGATTATTTTTTTAGCGTAAGTAAGATTTGGAATACTTCTTGAATAATTAAAGTGTGATTCAGAGATCTCAATGTTTTAGGCCCAAGAAAGTCTGCTCATGGACCATTGAATTTTGGTCTTGCCTACCCATTGTTTTTTTTCTTCAAAAAGGAATTAATCCAGCCCAGTTAATGAGTCGTCTATCTAGCTAAAACGTTTTTCAAACATAGTTCAACTCGCTATGATGCTGAAAGTTATTTATCATTATTATGATCCTTTGTTTCATAAATTAAATTAGTTGTCGATAATGATATAGCTGTTGATGAAAGCAGTGAACGAGAAACATTTTCGAAAAAGTCTTACATAACACCTCTTGAAAATTTCATGTTTTGTTGAATATTCGGCTCATGAGGGTCCGTCGAAAAATCGGATCAATCCACCTTAGCTCAGTCTGTTGAGAGCTCTAGTGCGATCAGACAATCAGAATCACTTTCTTTTCTTTTAGCGATAATATTAAATCATCAAGATGTGTTGAAGAAGTTAGATGTGGACATCATTCGAATATGTAATATGCGCGATCGTTTATGATGGAACGATGGTTTTTTTTCAACTCATGCTGATGATATTCAAACGACCATCTATTTTACGGATATATATTTATCTTTATTTCTTGATTAACAAAGAAGAAGTAAAACAAACGCCACTTCAAAATTCTTGCAAAAATAATACAATAAAATTTCTTGATTTAAATATTCAAAAATCGAATAGAGATAGTCACGAAATATGTTCAATGTTTGTTGTGCAGATGAGCCCCTTCAGACAATTTTTCTTGACTTGTTCCATATTCTTAAATATATTTTTCTGTAGTGTCTATAGAAAGTAAAAAATAATTGATTTGAATTTTGATTTTTTTTTCTAAAGATTAAAATACCGTATTCGATTTCTGTTGTTGTCGACGTTTAGTTTGACGTTTTCCCTCAGAACCACAAATCGCTGAAAGATTCTCACGCTCTTCGTCTAGAAGAATTTAGATGACATATGTGTAGTTGCAAGTAAGAAGGATCTTACTTTCATATTCAAAAATAGGTGTTGTTTCACATGATAAATCAGTTGGATAGGGAATTTGATTTTCATCGACGAAAAATATTTGAAAATGCAAGACAGAATAACGAAGATCATAGTTCTCAATAATAGTTTTCGGTTTATTTGTATCAGGTGAATAGAAACCTATTAATCAATTGAAATGAATTTCAACTGTTGATTACTTTCAAATTATCCTCTACCATTACAATCGAGTTGATTGGATGAATAGATTGGCCATCCTGTAATTTTCTTTAATGACTCTTGTTTTAATCGTTGCATGATTATATTTTTGCATCTAAAAAAACCAAATCAATCGTTTTTCAATCTCTCAGCTATTTAACAACATCAAATAGCTATACTTAATTGATTGATTATTCATTATTTGATCAGTTATATCAGTAAGTAAAGAACTATGATGAACTTTTGCATGTTCATCTTTTATCCATAAAGGATATGGATGACAACATACAATTCGATCAGGACCATATGGAATTGTGGTGCGAGTTATACGCATGATAGCAGATGTGTTCGCTGGCATATGACGTCGAAGATTGAGCATCTTTTGGAAATCAACAGAAATGAAAAAAACGTAGAGCTGATATTAGTCATTTACCTCAAATTCAATGCAATTATTGCCGGGTGTAGATATATAATGAAGAGCTCGCTCAAGGTCTGATTGATATCGAGCACGTTGGAATGGATATGGTGATATAAATAATTTTAATGATTGACCCGTTTGATATAACTGAGTACTACTGATAAAATTCGAATGAGCATGTAAATCCTAATAACAAAAGAGATGATATCGATATTCTTCTCTTCTAATGTGAATTAACGAACTGATGTTTCGATCACTGTGGAATCGTTTTGAATTGTCTCCACAACTTCACTTATACTAGCAGTTGAATGCTCGTCCGACGAGAATATAGGCTGTTCAAGCAAATTAGGTAATTCTCCATCGAAAATTATTGATTGTGCTTGATCGAAACCTAGAAAATAATCCAATGGCAAAGCACGACATTTTTCATCTTTTTCTTTTTACCTTCGATTCGTCCGTCGAATAAATCATCAATTTCTATATCGATATTATCAGGATCTGCAATCAATTCAAAAAAATAGATGCCAGAAATATATATAATTTGCTTTACTTACCTAATAGATTACATTCCATTAAAAAATTATCCAGAAAATTTGGTAGAGCAGCTAAATAAAGAAAACAATCATTGATATTTGAAGACGATTGAATTCATCAATCATACCCGAATTAGTAAGGCATGGTGCTGGTGATGGTAGATCATTATCGATTGTAACTAGTGAAAAATAAACATCATCCGATGATATCATTGTTGAAAAAGTTTAATGAAATTAATCTAAAACTCAAAAATAGAGTTGTAATAAATGAAATAGTTGCAGTGACAGAGAAAAACAAACAAGAGTTAGTCGAAACATGTTAACGCAAAATATATCTGATGCAATGTCTTGGTTTTTTCCAACGTTGTTCTTTTTTTTTCTTTCTTCATGTTGTTACAACATTACGTTCTGTTTTTTATTATATTATAGGATAAGAAAAAAAACAAATCGTAGTTACTCACAAGAAATACAGAGTGCGCCAACTGATGATGTTGTTGACATGCTCAAAAACCATCAATTGTTGTTAAGATGATGGAGAAAATTTTCAAATGAATAACTTCTTAAATAACTACTGGCACAATCGGAAAAATATTTTTTCCATTTCAAAGGTCCGTATTTATCAATAATAATGGCATTTACTTGATCAGATCGAGTGACTGTAGAGAAATGGCATATCTCTTTTGATGACGAAAAAACTTCATGCTCAAGCTGTCAGTGGATGAGTATTGCGAAGCATCGATATGGAATGTCCAATAGGTTGATAAAACTGCAAATTGTACACGCATTGCCGACTCCTCGATCTATCTGAAAATGGCACTCCGAGGAGCCGATCTGGGACTTCGATGGCCATCGAAAGACCTATCTCGATAGGTTCTGATGGGTAAAATTTGCAGGGATTCGAGCGGTCGATATTTTGGACACTCGAAATTTTTTCAACAAAGATAATCATATTGTCCTGAACATATTATATTCGTTGGATGTCGTTTATGATAACATAAATTATCATCTTCACCATTTCCACATGTGTTCATTTCTTTACATAGTGAATTATAAAAAATGCAACATCTTGATGTTGGACATAAAAAATTGTAACCCATTATTAAAATATTACTTTGACATTGCTGTGTATTCCGTTCATCTTGTTGACAAGGGTGTGGGTGTGGGTGTGGGTGTGTGAGGGTGTGGGTGTGGGTGTGGGTGTGGGTGTGGATGTGGATGGATGTGGGTGTGAGTGTGGATGTAGGTATGTGTAGGAAGGAAGAGAAGACTCACACCCCCAACTAGAGCCATCATGTTTTTCGTTCTCTGGTGGGATGTCTATTGACTAATGTTATCTGTGATGAGAAAAAAAAGAGACAGTATCATTCTACTTTAAAATATAGTTCTATCAAATAACTGCATATACAGAGCACTTTGTTTCAAGTAAGATGTGTACTGTAATAAGTTTGTAGTTTTATTGTGATATCTATTTGGCTCATTAAAGTCATACAATAGAGTTCTTTAGAAATATTCAGAGATTCTGACAAACTTTGAGTGTAGATTCTTTGAAATACAACAGTAATTTTAAGTTTATAGGAGTGTGTGACTTATTTTCAGTATTTAGTTAATTTTTCTCATTCTAATTCTAAGAACAATTCCTGAATCAAACACTGTACTTTAATTATTTTTCTAAATTAGCTGCCGAAATTTGATGAAAATTGATTAATTACAGATATTTCTATTTCTATAGAGTGTATACTTTCACAGGAATAATCAAGAAAATGTTGATCCTACTTATTTTTAAATAGGAAAGAATCAAATATAGACGTGACAGTTCCTATTCCATACATATTCGCGAATGTAATTGGTGGCAACATATCAGATTTAACCTGATCATAAGAAGCAGTCGACGATGTGAGAGTTTGAAAAAAGATAAAGTTAGAATATGATTGTAGATGTTTTACGTTGACAACTTTTCTAATTAATTGTAAAGCAAAATAAAAAAATATTTTTTCTTCACTTCATCAAATAAGCATAGATTTTTATTGTTCATAGAAAAAATATTTTATTTTTCTTTCAGAAATCAATACTTATTAGTAACGTGATAACCATGTTAATACGATTGTAGGTTTTATCATTACTATCAAGTGATTATGGAGTGAATTGTGCTCAACCCTATTTTCCTCGTCAAGTGACATTTTCTATGTATGACAACCAAGCAATTTATGCAGTTGATGAATTGAATCAACAGGCTTATACATCGTATGTTATAACTCCAACACTTACCAAATATTCATTTGCAATGAAGAATTCCACTTTTGCAATTCTTGATTCACCAGAATCGAAAAAGACTCTTCATCAAACAGTTGTAAGTACGTTACATATTGGAAATATGATGGAAATTATATGTCCAACTCATTTTCTTCACATTGGAATTTGAATAGTAGTTCATTTAAAATCGATAATTTCATTAAGCTTCAATATGAATTGATTCATTCAAAGGATGATTCACGAGATAAAGATTATTGGTATGCAAATGAAATATGTGAAATTTATACTGGTGAAAAATTTCCTTGTCAAGAAATTTATTTCAAGAAAAATATAGATATACCTCTAAGAACAGCTCAAGTTGTTCATCAAGCATGGGATTTATTTCATGAAACAACACATTATAAGATCATATCCATTGGCAAACCAGATGAAAGGATATTCAATAGAATTCCAACAAATTGGGCTTATAATTGCACCGATGTTATGCTTAGTCTTAGTTACAATGCACAAATATTAACAATTAAATTGACTAAAGACTCGACAGTGGACGTTTAACTGATGGCTCCATCACATCGGATTAATGGAAATGATACAGTCATGATTGAATGGAAATCATCAAATTGGTCCAAATGTAATGATTGTGTCACATGGACACCGAAACGAATTAGGTTCAACTCGGATAACTTTTAACAAAGACAAACACTTCTTATTACTTGTGTCAAAAATCGATCCAGTGTATACATTTGAACAATAGTCTTTTCAAAATATTTTCTCATTGTCAAAACCCTTGAGCTGCAACACGAACTAAAAGGGTGGGTGTCGATATGGGTGTCGATGCTGGCGAGGAGAACATTCACACCCATACCCTCAAAAAGCAAGCGGTCTTATTTTCAAAATAAAAAAAAAAGTAACATGTATATTTCATGTTTGCCAAAGAGTCATGATTTAGACTATGGTTGAGATTGTTCGATATGATTTTTCAGATTTTTCAAGAAGGTTGAGTAAGGACAGAAATAGTCTTTGCAGTTGGGTAATTGTTGCCGTTGACCAGAGTAATCGACAGTGATATAGGTTTCGGTGGGCTCTGTCTTTGATACATAGTATTTCATTAGGATATATGCGGCGTAAGATGGCCATTGCATATCAAAGATCTCGAGAGCCATGGCCATCGGGATCAATGTACTGTCATGACATGAGTAAATGAATAGTTTATGATAGGATGTTTTTTGATCGTTTTCTTTATCGGCAATGTAATTTTTAAGAACAGATTCGAAGTTCTGTTTGATCAGATTAAGAACTGTTCCAAATTTCGAGCGCACAAAGGCATCAAAGCCGATATTTGTATTCATTAGGACATATTCTCGGGCAGCCATTGTATGAAAATTGTTGGTCATTAGCAATAGATCTTCTGGAATGAAAAACCCATGTGCCTGTCGTGAGATAATATCATCATGTAATTCAACGATTCCGAGTTTGTTATTGCTCGCATTAATATAATCAAGAATCTTCTGTCGAGCCATTTTCAAATCGTGTTTATTATTAAGTGAAGCATAGAGCGACTCAACACTATGGCGTTCTTTTAAAATTGGGAAAGTGTTCGGATTGGGAGATAGTTCTTCGTCCGGAAAGTCACGAACTTCTATCTCAAATGGGCCAGTAGCTTGAACCTTATTTCCTGTTGCTTCCGATGAGAAGAGACCAGCAAGGAACGATCGAGCACTAGAAAGTGTTCGCTTTATATAGGTTGATCGACAATAGATGATTTTCGGATCGTACACATTCGAAATAAGTCCATCATTGGTGCTGTCACCCATTAATTCAGATTGTAAGCGTCTACCCAGATTAAATAATTGCTTCTCTCCAATAGCTGTCAATTGACCAGTGACTACTAGTTCATTTGAAGCAGATTTCAACTGCTTAGTTCGATCGCCGATAGTTTCCACCGCTGACTTAACCTTATCACTGGAAACAACTTCATTGCCTATTTTGGCTATTAATTGTATATCCCATTTGGTTGGCGGATAACTTTCGATATGCTCTTTCGTATAAATAACTTCTTCTAGACCCGGTAAAAGATTGACTGGTGTCCGAGCGCCATGTCTAAAGAATATTTGAGCACCTATCAATTGTAGATCATCGTGTAATTTCATTTGAATATGATCGTTCATCATTGATCCATCATTGTCATGGAATATACGCTGACCTGTCAATGCCCAGAGGACTATCGGATGATTGTCTGTTACTGACATTAATACATTTTCTTCATTACTCATACTTGTATAAAAAATTAACAATGCCACTAAGAGAATTATTACGCAACGATCACAACAAAATTTATATCATAATGTTGATGTGCGTATTAGCAATGACCATCTGAAAAATGAACGAAAACACTATTTCTTTTTATGCAATTGTATTAACGTCGAGCAAGTCTTGATTCTTTCTGATTAAATGTTGTGTGCACCAAACTGTTACTGTTCTCTTATGTAGCAAAACTGTAACAAGCAACTTACTCGATTGTTAATTGACTCAAAAGAAAAAAATAAAAAATAAAAAACATTTCACATGCCTCAACGCCACACAACTGGTAAACGAAATCATTGACAAGTCTTTCACAATCAGCGTCAATTCACTTTTCTCTTCCTCAAGAATAGTAAAATGATGGCTGCATAAAGCGCAACAACTGAATAATGTCATGCGTCAATCATTCGAGTGTGGATATGTTTTGCTGTTTGTGAATGTGAGTGAGAGTGTGGGCAAGTGCGTGTTTCGATGTAAGTGTCTTCTCTAAATCTACACCCACACCACTTCAATAGATGACAATCTGAAATATGAAGCTTTAATCTATAATTTGATCTCCTGAGTTAATGTATTCAACGTACAATTGAATGCACTGTTTGTTCTTTCGAAGCCAATCAACGAAGTATCTTTGCAGTAGCCGAGTGAAGACGGTTAAAAAAAATCTTGAAACTTAGGGAGAAGGATGGTTTTAGTTCAGGACTCAAGAGATCTCTTCAGCGTTGGTAAACAGAATAATTTTGACAGTGGTACACTTCTTTCACTTTGCTTTTTGAATACTGAAAGCTTTGGATCGATAGCTTTTGCATCGAAGAGATATTAGAAAAGAATCTGAGCGTACTCTATATTCTCGCCAACAGCGGTTGAACAATTCCGATCAAGCTTATCGGCATCCGATTTTTATTAGATTATATTGATATACTTCTTGTAAGATGATTTCATCTTAATTTATCATCATGTCAGGATATTCTAAAAAGGAAAATTCCTCCTTTTCATCACTTTATGTAGAATAATCCTAACTCAAATATGTATACCCATTCATGAAATTAACCCTTTCAAGGCGATGTGATTCTACAGGGTTTCCAAAAATGTTTTTCCAAAGATTTCAGCTCAAATCAAAGAGATATACAAGTGATTTTTATATAAAATGAAAGGCCATTAAAAACGGAATTTAAGAGTATAACTGATAATTCATAGGGTGATAATAAGCTATAGAATCACGAACAGTTCCAAAAATATTAGGGATGTAACTAGTGTACTTCATTGGGTAGTCATACATAAAAACAAAAAGTTCCGGGAAAATGTCTTCGTCTATCAGATTTTGTGGAGCTATCTGGGTTGATCATTTTGATAAAAAAATATTCTAAGTTTGACCGATAAATGACGATGCTATGATTAAAATACTGAAAAACGTTATAGCTCTTGCACATAGAGAAGCTTGAGATTTTTCAGTATTTTAATCATAGCATCGTCATTTATCGGTCAAACTTAGAATATTTTTTTATCAAAATGATCAGTCCAGATAGCTCCACAAAATCTGATAGACGAAGACATTTTCCGAGAACTTTTTGTTTGTATGGATGATTGACCACTGTAAATTATAGCATCGCCTCGAAAGGGTTTAATAGTAATTCATTTACATATTTTCCGTCATAAACATGACATTCATTTTTTCGCATATCATGGTGTTACACCATCGAATTTTTCTTTTTAAATTTTATTCAATCACATTTTTCTCTCTTTCCACCAGCAATCTCTTATTTTTTTTCGTGTTTCTTCACTTTCTTATTTTCATATTTTTTCGAATGTATGTGGACTCACATTTCCGTCGGTGAAGACATATGTTACAGGCATATATCTTATATGCCTTCACATATTTCGTTCTTATCGACATCTGTTTTGTTCTGTTTACATTCTTTGATTCTGTTTTTGTTTTAATTAGTATTCTTCCTTGGGTCATTCGAGGAGAAAACGAATGTAAAGAAGAAATAAAAAGAGAGATACTTTAACAGATGCTAACAAAATGAATAAAAATAATCGAGAAAAAAGTATTTTACATATTCGAAGCGATTATGAGATTCAAATATGAAAATTTCATTAAGAGTATTAGGAGTACTGTTCGGAATTGTAAAATTATAGATCTGATGAACTCAACTACTGCACTCCTGTCGACATTTTATATTTCTGCATTTATGAAATAATTCTATATCTTGTCGTTTTAGTTTCAAAGAAAATGTTTCATACAATTCAACAACAATTAAAGATATTACTCCTAATCACATGTTACTGTTTCAATTTCATCAGTGAGTTAGTGAATTTCTTCGAAAATGAAAACATGATGACTATTAGTTGGAGGTCCTGATCAACTTCGTTTGTTAAAATATCTATTGGTTGACAATCAATACAACCGAATTGCACGACCTGTTCAAAATGACTCTGACCCATTACCTGTTACTATAAATTTGGCTTTACAAAACATCATTGAATATGTAAGTGAGATTAAATATATGTTTTTTTAGTTTTGAAATATAAATAGGATGAAAGGAACGAAGCTATTGTCGTTAGTGGCTGGATGACTATCGTATGTATACTTAATTATAATTAGGGATGCAACGATGACGGTGAATCATCGCTTCATTGCCACCGATAATCAGTTCTTATCGGGATCTGATTCATCGGAAATCGATAGAACTCATCAGGTCTAAGAATTTCTGGAACCAAACCCGATTGATCAAAAATTTTGGACTCGGACCTGTTTGATTCATTTTTTGTGGGTCCGAACTAGAACCGTACTCTTAAATTTCTTAATAAACTTTTCTAATCCGATTTTGATTGTCGTTCCGAAGATACGATACACTTTTCATTTTTTTTCTATTGGATTCGTAACATACTTAAGAGCCTCAATTCATATTTACTTTCAACTTAATTCATGCGTAAATTAAATTATCGGCAATTTATTTTTAAAATAAATATAAATATGCTTTTTTTCATAATTTATATTTTAATTTTTAAATATTAATTACCGATACTTTACATCTATTCTAAATTGACAGTAAAATAGCACTCCTAAGCATATTTTACATATTCTTTAGACGATCCAATAGTGATCCCATAATAATTAAATTACACTTAGTTCTCACTCCTATTCAATATTTCTTGATAGAAGAATGAATATATGCATTACAAAGACTTTACATTATTTCTCTTATTTAACAACTATTCTAATATGAATAATACTTTGCTTTCTATTGAATCATCAACATAAAAAAAATAATAAAATAGTATGAGTTTTTCCTTAAAAAAGAAGAAACTTCTCAATGTCATAGAAAATGATTACAAGTCAAGCACATTTTACAAGCCAAAAAATCTCATATTTTTTATAAATAAATTAAGATTTTTTTAATAAAATGAACAAACATTTAAAGATATTAGTAAAATATCATTATGTTCGTCAAAAACTCTTTTTGATTCGGATGTGATGAATAAAAATTTTCAGAGACGGATCCGATGGGTTCTAGTAACCGGTTTTTATCGGCTTAGAGTGCACTCGGTTTTTCGAAATTTTGAATTGGACTTTTTTCCGTCAGGGAAAGGATCTTTTTCGAAAGTAGCAATTGTTTATCAAGTTTGGCCAAAGACAATCGGAGTTGAGGAATCCGAATCTGCAATCGGTTGTTGAAGTTCTGAGTTTGATTTCTCTTCATAAAGTCTCTTTTACGAAAAATTGTATTTCTACTTAAAACAATGTGTTTTTTTTCTGCAAAACAAAATGTTTGTAAAAAATTAAACACCGAACCTCGAGAAATCAATGGCAGATTCGGATTTCTTCACTCCAATTGCCTTTGACCCAACTTGATAAAAAACAGCCTTTTCCTGACTAAAAACCTCAAGCTTAAAATTTTGAGAAACCGATTATACCCTAAGCCGCCATGGGTTAGTATAAAGCGGTATAAACCAGTATTAGCCTAATACCGGTTACTGGTAAGAGTCGGTTATCGTCATCATTGCATTCTTATCTATAATATCTGATCTTATTGTTCATATATGTCTGTATAGATGTGGAATGATTATAGTTTAAGATGGAAACCAGAAGAGTTTGGTAATATTCAAACACTACGAATACCAAGTAAACAAATTTGGACACCAGATATTCTCCTATATAATAGGTAATTATTTTTCAAAGAATAGATATCTTGAAAAACGATGCTTGTTTTTTCTTAAAGTGCCGATGAAAATTTTGATATTACAATGAAAATCAATGCTGTTGTACAACATAATGGTGATATTCAATATGTACCCCCAGTATTATTCAAATCGATTTGTCCATTTAATATCGCTGCATTTCCATTTGTAAGTATCAAAAAAATATGTCACTCATATCGTAATTTTTGTCTTTTTTTTTGGATACACAATATTGTACGTTGAAATTTGGATCTTGGACATATGATGATGCTGGTATGCGATTGAATCATGTTTTTTTTTCTAAGATGAGATGCCAAATTTTTTGCATGTTATATGCTTTTTTTTATTACTTAGGAGTCAATCTGATAGCAGAAAATAGCAAAGGTCAATTAGATGCATATGTCAAAAATGACGAATGGGATCTAGAAGGTAGTCGATAAGGGTTACGTGCAGTTTATGCTATTTATTCTCTTTTAGATTTCTCTGCAACGAATAATGGCATCGCATACGACTGTTGTCCAAGTGTTTATCCATACGTATTATACACTATTCGAATGCGTCGACGTTCTCTTTACTACATCATAAATATCATTAGTAATAAAATATAAATTACAATATATTTTTTTTCTAATCTTTTCATTAATATTATTGCTTTTTCGTTTCATAGTACCTTGTTTTCTTATTAATTGTATGACAATATTTGGATTTTTATTATCACCGGATAGTGGAGAAAAATTAACCTTGCGTAAGTTAGAATTTGATGATAGAAAAATTTGTTCTTATACATTCTAAATCTTCAGATATTACAACTCTTCTAACTGTTGTTATGTTCAGTTTACTTCTAGCAGAAATTCTCCCACCAAGTTCAAATGCTATACCAATTATTACTGCTTATTTCATATGTGTTATGATTATATCAGCAGTTTCAGTTGTTGCATCAATATTAATATTATCACTTCATTTTCGAAATTCTAAAAATCATACAATGTCATTATGGGTAAATCATATTTCAAAATAAATAAATCACATGATTTTAGAAATCATTTCAGGTTCGTAAGTATATTTGTAACTATTTAGCATGGCTATTACTTATGAAGCGTCCCGATTATGATTTGAGTTGGCGTGGGATTCGTCGTCAATGGGCGTCTTCAAAACAAGAATCGAATAATGTAAATAAATCGATCGATAATCGTCATGCTAAGATTCTTCCTGAACCGTCGTCGTTGAATAATACATTTGAATTATTATCAACTAATGTTATAAATGTTGATAAGAGATCTTTAGAATTCTTAGAAAGACAACGCTCAGATCCGCTATTAGAATTTTCTGTACCTCCAACAACGGAAATTCACAATTCTCGTCATCATCAGAATACATCGAATGATTTGTATACATGTGATATGGAAATGACTCGTTCTGAGCTACGTGTTATTATTTCTCAACTTGCTATTCTTATTAATTATTTTCGACAAAAAGAGAAAGATGATGATAATTCGCAAGACTGGCAATTTGTGGCAATGGTCATCGATCGTCTTTGTCTAGTGATTTTTGCTGCAATCATGCTTCTTTTTACTGTATTTACTTTTCTCAAAATTTAACTATTTTTTTTTAATTTCAATTAATTTCTTTTTTATTTAGTAGCGAAGCAGTTTTTGTCTTAATCTTTTTTTAAATATATATATACGTTTGTAATAAACTTTATAGAGAAAATACTGGCAATTGTATACAAACTATTTGATGAATGAAATCAAGCTGCACTAAGTGCGAAATGAATCTGAACAACTTAGAATGAATTAATGATACCTTGTATGATAGCACAGTTTTTTTTTTCTTTAGTTTTCTTTCGATACAGATGAATATTCGATATAGAATAGGGCCAATAACAGCTGATATATTTTTAGTCTCTAACCATCTTTTCTTTCAATTTTATTTATTATTGGGTGTGGGTATGGATGCATGAAAAAGAACCACACCCATCATTGACCATGATAGACACTTTCGGACTCCGCCAGTGACTGTACAAGTCGTTGCTCATATATGATTAAAGATTGTACATCAATAACGACTTATCATAATATATGAATTACTCTCTGATTCAAGTACAGGAGAAATAAGTAAAAGAATGGTGTAGAAATGTATCGCAAAATAGATTGATTAAAACAATCTTCCTGTCAATATGAAGAGCAGCTATATCGTGTTTCACATTTTAATCCCGCACTCTGAAAAAAAAGAAGGTATCATATGCAACAGAAAATGGTTTCATGCACGCTACAAAACTTAAGAAGAGTTTCGAATACGATGCAGAACCTCAAAAAGATTTCAAATTTTTTGAAAAAATGGCCCCGCATGGCACCTTTTTTCGATGTAAGAATTGTGCTCACAGCTTTCTTTAATTTGAAGCCTTAATAAGACACATTTGGAGCGATGATGTTTTAGTTGTACATGTTTTAAAAGCAATTACTTACTGTACGTAAATTTCGCATACACTTTTCGAATACACGAATGGAAAAAAAAATGAAAAGTACACACTTCATGCCGCGTTTTTAAAGGAACAAGACCAATTTTTTTCTATCCTTTCTTCACTCACGGTAAGCAAAACATACAGGATGCACCGTGACGACAAGTAGAAATGAGCGAAACCCACCTGCAAAGTTTGTTTTGTGAGAATAAAACAATCAGGTTTCAATCAATCTGAAGGATGTATGCACGTCAGTCCACTTGTTCTCGGTAGGATGTGGGTGTTGGTATTCATCACAATCAAAACCCCACCCACACTCCACGCTAAGTTTTACGTCACGCATATCGATCCGTCCCGAGGAAGCTTTTGATCAGAGTATGTCTTGTAATAGTGGAAGGGTTTTATTCGAACATTTAGCACTAAATCATTCTTAGAACTTAAAAGAATAACACACGTGCTACAATATGCCGCGTTTAAACTTCACTCTTCGGACTCACACGAACAAACAAAAAATAAAACTGAACATTACAATATTGCATATTATATGTAAAAAAAAAACAAAAAAGAGAAGCGATAGCATCACATTTTTATTCGTGCAAAAAAAGAGTGATTCGAAAAGAATGTCATTTAATTCTATAGGGTGTCCAGAAAGTAACTAAACAAAGAAAACATTGAATATTTTCACCATACTTCAACCAAATGAGCTGATTCTTTTTTGTGAAGATAGAGGACAGCTCCATGTTTTTATTCATAAATGAACAGTCCATTTATGCACATAAAATCAGCAAACTTCCGTTCAGTTTATCACTAAACAACTCACAAACGTCTTTTACATTTGGTTACAGATCGATATTGTATTCTTTTATTTATTTGTTAAGCAGTATAGCTGATGTATTATACAACAACACTAGTATGTAAGAAATTGTCCTTTGCTATCCAAGCAATCACGAAAACGTTGCACAACAGAGCGACATGCTTTGCGACAAATTTCTTCTGGCACTTGTTCACAGGCCTCTTCAATTTTTTTTTAAGTTCCATAATTGTAAGCGGATGATTTTCGAAACACGATGTCTTTTAAATACTCACAAAGAAAGAAATCGCACGGTGTTTAAATCTGGTGAACGCGCCGGCCAGTCGAATGGACCACGGCTGCCGGCCGATCCACCGATTGGGAAACTTTTCATTAAGCCACTCTCGAACAATAACAGCATAATGAGCTCCTGCTCCATCATGTTGAAAGCAAAACCTTTTATATCGCAACTGAGACCATGCGTACTCGGCCAGCATTTCTTTGTACAATGAACCAGTAACAGTATCGTTAAAAAAATGTGGACCAACAAGTCCATTGGAAGTTATTCCGCACTACACCGTGACTCCTTGTTGTATATTTGGTACTTCAAATTTTAAATGTGGATTTTCTCTGGACCAGTATGTGCAGTTGTGCCGATTGATGGTTGTATTCATACTGAATTTGGCCTCGTCGCTCCAGAATATACTATCAACTAATTCTGGATCATTCTCGAATTTTTCGAGCCATATTTCGCAGAATTCACTGCGACGATCGAAATCATCTTCGTTAAGGTCTACTATTAAAGTTGGACGGTAAGGTTTAAATTGAAGTTGTTTCATAGCTACTTGGTAACTACTTTTGGTTATACCAGCTTGAGCGGCACCTTGTCGAATAGACAGTCGCGGATTGGTAGTGATCATTTCTTCAATTTTTTCCAACTTCTCTTCTGAAAATACAGTTGATGTTCGGCCACTGCGTGGTAAATCTTCGATTGTTCCAGTTTCATCAAACTTCCGATTTACTGACAAAAGTGTGACTATATTCGGTGGAATTGTATCAGGCTGATAGTTCCACTGTCTGTGAACTTCGTGTGCATTTTCGTACTTAGAAAAAAGACGCACCATCGCGACTTTTTCTTCAGTAGTGCGACGTGTAGATGTTAAGGTTCTATTGATTTCTCCTTCCTTTTCATACATGCATCCAACAAGAACAAGAACAAAAAATAATAGCACACAAAAAACGACCCATGATTATAAAGTATCAAAAAATGTTTCTTATCTTTGCTCTGAATACATTCCTCTTTCATCGAGAGAAATGCCTTGAAAGAGAAGAGAGAAACAGCAAGAAGAGGGTAATAAAAAATTACAATTGCAGAATTATTCATTGATAGTAAATAACTCAGCAGTAAAGCTGTTTAGTGATAAACTGAACGGAAGTTTGTCGATTTTATGTACATAAATGGACTGTTCATTTATGAATAAAAACATGGAGCTGTCCTGTATCTTCAGGAAAAAAATCAGCTCATTTGGTTGAAGTATGGTGAAAATATTCAATTTTTTCTTTGTTTAACTACTTTCTGGACACCCTATATATTCGATAGAAATGTTATTCAATTTATATTCTTGAATGTAATTAGACGGACAATTCTATTTTAGAGTTTATGAGAACTTTTTTGAATTTATTTAAGAAGAGTTTCTTCTTGGAATATTTCTTTTGTATATTAATAAATCAATTATTTAATAGGTATTCTAAATACAAAAAAAAAGAAAGATTTTTCTAGAAATCATTCGAAATATTGATACAAATGATGATATATTTCTCTTTTCACTATAATCAAAATAACATTTCATGTACAAAAACCATATGGGCCATTGAAACATCTATCATTTTATTCCTTTTATTAAATCATAGAACATATCCTTTACGTAATCTGTTCAGAGTACTAAGGTAAAATTGATTTTGCCTATTGATGAAGTTGATTTAGTCATGTCATAGTGACATTACAAAGAGTTTTATCAAATGATAAAATACTTTTCATGGAAGACTAATACTTGAATATGATTAAGAATTAAATCGAATTCTATTTAAAGATAAAGACACGAATATGTTTAACATAAAGTATTTTATATATTCGATGAATTTTGTATTGTCCATTGTTATATATTTTAAGCAGAAAGAAAAAAATCGAACACCAAGACTAACAAAAATGTCGAAGGATTTTATCAGATCTTGAGATAATTCAAGTATCATAGAATTTGCTATTTTTCTTTTTATTCAAGTTTTTAATGCTTTGGTAATATTTTTTTTTTGTCTTAAAAATAAAATCTCATCATTATTGATTATTTCCTTTTCAGTTCATATTTATCCGTAATTAAGACTCAATGAAATTAAGAAAAAAAACTGACAGATTTCGTGTTTATTGATTATTATTTAATGGTTAGAAATCTTTCTTTAAATTGTCAACTGCATATGCGATGTTTTTGAAATCTACTACTGAGTTTAGTGGTGATGTTTGTTTTTAGTTTCAAAACAATTTGACGTCAATATATCAAAATTTTTGATTTATCTGTATTCTCACATATATATCGAGAAAAGTGATACTATAGGAAATTTTGATATACTGATGTCAAATTGTTTTGAAACTAAATGCAAACACCACCACTAAACTCAGCATAGTCAGTTACTCCTACTGTGACATATTTTAGGATGATTGAAGGTTACCTGGCCAATTTCTGGGGGTAGCACGAAAATGCTTATAGTTCTTGAGCAAAGCAACCTAGCGAGTTCAACCTTGTGCAGATTGAAAGCGAACAAATTTTCCCATCGAATGATCATATTGGAATCTAAAATCCAATGAGAAATAGTTACCCTAAATAGTCTTCAAAATGTCTGATGAGTGCTTACACGATTGGTCGATTATTGACCAATCAAATTTGACAGAGTTTTACTTCCTCTACACTTCTCTTTCGAATGGTGAAAACCGTAGGTTTCTAACTGCTTTTGTTCTTGAGATATTTAAAAAATATCGAGGTTCATTATGTTTTGACGTCGATAGTAAAATCCTTACTTCCTTCTTCAGCAAAATCGAAATTTCTATTTTTGGAAAACTAGATGCAAGTTCAAGATTTTCTAATAAAATCGTGTAGTGATCGTATTGGTTAATAGCTATCGCGAGAGTGGAACGAGAAAGATTCAAAAACTTTCCGAAGCTGGATCCCAAAACATCTCCAATACAAAAGGTCGAAGACATAATAGAATATCTTCCGAGTCTGCATACGCAGTAAATTGTTTCAGTTTTTTGTAAATTAAAGAACTTCTCTCAAAGTTTGACTATTATGTAAAAACTGATCGAAGCAGTAATATTTTTGCGCACTTCTAATTGCAAGAAAAATTTCTATAAAGTCTACACAGTTTCGACTAACTTGTAACGCTATTAGGTCGGACAGCAAGCGTTTCTCTCATATTTGCGAATATCCTCATCTTGATGTCACTTGTCGGTGCCCGTTTCCGATGAAGTCAATAACTTAATAAAAGATTTCTAACTTTCAAATAATAATCTGTAAATTTTTGTATTATTTCAATAATTTTAGAAGTAATGTTTTTGTTACTCTAAAAATATAGACAAATAGTTTTTTTTTTGAAATGAAAATATCTTATTAATATGAAATGTTACTGATTATTGATAATAATAGTTTATTGTATAATTAATCATATTGATCATGTCTAAGAAATGTTTCTAATGTATTATCTTCTTGATGAATTGCTTCGTTTGTTTGATGTTTGTTTTCTCGTTTTGAATGAAAACGTTGTAAAAATAAAGCTAATAGAAATAAAAAAAACATGATAAAAATCAAAAAGAGTGAATAAATGTTTTGAACCATAATGTTGAAAAATGGAACCAGAAATTAATTCAAATACAATTCCATCAATTGCATTTGATGATAATATTAATGATAACTCAATCGGTGTCAACTGTAAAAATTGTTTTATTCAACCGATCAATGTAGCAGATATTGGTGATATTGATAAACCATTTGCTGTTACTAATAGAAATAGAGATATACGATTTAAACCAAAATACCAAATAAATAAAATCTATAATAAATATGTTAATAAACATAAAAACAATGATATTGTTAACATAATATGTGGATTTATCCATGGAACAGTTAAAAATGCTGAAAATATTCGTCCAATTAACATAGGTAGCCAATAAAAAATCATTGAATAAGCCGAATCTTTTTTATTTGGATTTATTTGTTCTTGTTCAACAAATGAAATAAAAAATTCTGTAAAACCTTTTTCAATTCCAGCTAGCAAAAAAAATCTATTCTTAGACAAATTTACTAACAAAAAAAAAAGAAAGAAAATTTTTACCACAGAAAAAATTAAATAATAATATAAGAGATATTAAAATAGATCCATAAGCGAAATAACCTTGTCCACATGTTGTTGGACTACAAAGTTTCCAAAATTTTAATTTTTTAGATTTCGATTGAATATTTATTTCTTCTTTTATACTTGATTGTGAAGTAATAAGTTTTTCCAATTTTTCTTTCTTTTTATATTGATTTTGTTTATGAGCCACCAAAGCAAATCCAATTGATGATATTAAACAAAATATTAATGTTATTATATACGTTCCAACTAATTCTAATTGAAAATAATTTTCTTTTATAATTATTGTAGAATTTGAATATTTAATATAATTTCTATCAATAAAAGGATCATTTTGACGGAACGATCGAACAATAATAATAGAAAGTAAAGCACCAACAGGATATCCAAAATAAATACAATTTAATGGTTCTGTAGAACGGCTTGACCACACATTTGTTATTAATATATTTGAAACTAATCAACAATAGTTAAATAGTTTCTAATTTTAAAAAACAATGATGCTTACCTAAGTCTATTAAACCATATGATATTCCCTGAAATAACAAAGCAATGCAAAGTGCCCATAAAGATTTTAAATATGGAGTTAATGCTGTTGCTAAATGTAGAGATAAAATCGAAATTAATTATTATTTATTGAAGATAATTAAAAACCTATAGATGCTAGAAGATAAGCAATGGATAAAATGCATTCTGAATAATTCTTTGTAATTGATTGAAACAAAAGTTCAAAAAAAAACAACTATTATCATACATCCAAAATTTTTTGCTGCAATAATCCAAGATAATTTAGCCAAATTTGTTTTTACTTGAATACTCTAAGGTAACATTGTTGAACCAGATATTTCAAGTTCCATTTCCTTTGTTTTTTTTGTTTTAATAATAATAATAAACACAAAAATAATTATTTTAATAGGAATTTTGACAAAAAAATTTTTACCATTGTCATAAAACCAAATAAACCAAATAAAGTGACAAATAATTTCCATTTTTGTTTTAGATAATAATTTAAACCATTTTCAATATGACCATCGTCATTAGTACGCGTCTCTTTTTCATTCATTTATTTTTATTATATAGAATAGATAAATTTTGTCTTTATATTAAATGTATTTAAATCAAGGTAAAAGATAAACATTTTATCTTTCTTTAGAACTTTTTTTATGCTGAAAAATAGAACGATTTTTATCTCTCAATAATCATTATTATACGATTATCGCATTGTTCTATTTTATAGAATTTATTTCTCGAACAATCTTCTTCCATAAAACTCTATATTCAATACTGTTCGATTTGGTTTATGTTTTGTCTGTCACCAATATACATATGAGATCACTCATATTAAAACCATTCTTGAATAATTACTGGTTAAACTTCAACAAAGGTGTGGGGCGCGAGTGGGTGGGTGTGGGTATAAGTGTTGATAATTCTCTTCTTTACCTAGGTCCACCTACCCCCTGAACATCCATGTTTATTAGCTAATGTTGATCAACCATGGAATTTTACTAAAAATTGTCCATGTATTAATCTTACACGTATTGGTGATGGAAATATCGATTGTTATTGTCAACAAGATGAACGGAATACACAACAATGTCAAAATGGTATTTTAATAATGGGTTACAATTTTTTATGTCCAACATTAAGACGTTGTATTTTTTATGATTCATTATGTAAAGAAATGAATACATGTCGACATGGTGAAGATGATAATTTATGTTATCATAAACGACGTCCAACGAATAGAACATGTTCAGGACAAAATGGTTATCTTTGTGGAAAACATTTCGAGTGTCCAGAATATCGACCGCTCGAAGCCCTGCAAGTTCTATCTATCAGAACCTATCGAGATAAGTCCTTCGATGGCCATCGAAGTCCCAGATCGGCTCCTCAGAGTGTCACTTTCGGATAGATCGAGGGATCGGTGATGCGTGTACAATTTGCAGTGTATCAACCTATCGGACACCCCATATCGATGCTGCGAAATGGCTACGTTCTAATTGCGACCGAGAATTAAGTCAATTAACGCATCAGTGGTCGCAATTTGGAACACATAGGATAAAGTTGATCTTATTTTTATGCATTTCCAAATTACGACCACTTTTTAGTTATCAAACAATTAGGGTGTGAGTGTGGGTGCGGATTGAAATCAACTGTTATTGTACACCCATACCCACACACTTCCACCTACACCCACACACTTCCATCTACACTCACA